TATATATATTCTTAACGGGTTAATGGATTATCCATTAAAAAAAATGAATAATCCGCCCCCAAACCGATAAGCCGTTAATAAAAGAATTTCAATCCGTTCCCCGTCCGTTAAATCATTAACTCGATACCAATAAGTCATTAAGCTTCGATTTTGGTTCGGTTTTCAATTTCGGTTCGATTTTGAACACCCCTAGTCACAAGCTAACACAAAGGAAAAATAAGCAAAAGCTTTCATCGCTGTAGGCTTCACAAGTTAACTTTCATACCTTATGATAACAAAACTCTCTTTTTTATTTGGTTTGTAAAAATTGAACATCCACATTTAATATGATTTCTTAAATTCATGAGGTTAGTTTTTATGAGTGCGGGTAAATTCTGAATTCACTATTACTTTTCGCGCAGAACACGATTCTACCATCAGAGTTGTGTTTAACCGGAAAAATTAGAGTTGTTCTTAAAATATTGTACCTTAGGCATTGATCCGTCAAGTACAGTCAATTATTCAATTTACTACTTTTATATAAAACCTTGAAGTGAATTATTTTAGCGCAGTGAAAGAATTTTTATTGAGAAACTAGTAAAAAATCTACTTTAGAATTATAATTGATGTCAAAAAACATCTTAAACTTCAAAATAACATAGATGTCAACTCAATTGCTTATCTGAGTTGCTATTTTTTTGGATGAATGATTTGGAAGAAAGGAAATATGACAAATGATGCTACTTATTTTGTGCATAAAACTTACCAAAATATCCTTCTCTTTTCTTCCATTCCCATTCTCTATTGTGCACCACATATACGATAAGAACTATCCCTCAATCGATAGGTTAAAGATAGAAAAATAGTACCGGTGATATTTCTAATCTTTGAGAAAATCGGGATTTTTTTCACATCACAACGTCAACCAAAGACGGGAGCATCTTAGCAGACACTAGAGAGAAATACCTAGTAACTTCGTCGCTCCAAAACGATTTGGTAAACTTCAAAACATGAATTATAATAAATAATATTTAAAAGGAGAGATATTTCTTTAGATATAGTTAAAGTGCACTGAAACTTTATATTTGTTAAGTGGCCTTCATCATCTCGTCGGCAATCACCGTCGCCAAAAATGTCATAGTCGCAAAACTTTGTCGTACCATACACCCTTTCAGCAGCTCTCCACACAAACATATAATGTTTAAGTGCGAATAAAGGCCAAGAACTACTAATTTCAAATTCTTACAATACAAAGGTTAAGCAAGAAAGCTACAAATTAAAAGTCATTCATTCAGACTCTAGCTAGATGGCTTTGCCATAGGTGTACTAACACTCCTCAATAAACATATAGTAATAACTTTGTTTCCTAATTAAGTAGAAAGAAAAGTAGTTCCTAACACAAATACTAAACAATATAATTTAAACACATACTCCTCTTCCTTATTGATCAATAAGTAGCCCAATAGTTGTCTAAATCAGCACAATAATTTGCACTATTCATTTCTGCCCCATAACCTGCCTCACTTGTAATTGCACAATTATCCAACATAGAAGAAGTCATCACTTCTTGTTGAATATTCATAACTTGTGTTGGTGGTGGCGGCGGCGGCGGCATTGGCCTTAAAACTGGCTGAGACGAGGCGGCGGCACCACCACCAAGATTCAAGTTTAAGCCTGAAATAGTAAAAAAATTATCTCCTCCTCCACCACCACCACCACTACTACTACCTCCGATATTGTAATTCATTTGGGGTTGTTGTATTGGGAAATTGTTCATATAATTAGATGCATGGTTTATGTAATTTCTTCCCATTGCAAATTGGAAGCCATGATCAGGTTGCATCATTATTTGTGAGGATATTGCATTTTGATTGATCTCTAGAGAATAGGGATTAACTACTGTCCTTGAATGGTTAGTAGGGTACTTCTTCAATCCTGCACTCTTCTGGAAGATTCGGCAAACCACCCACTCGTCTTGCTGACAGTGTAAAAAATATTTTTTATACTATTAGATCGTTAAAAAGATAATAACATGTATCGGTCTATAATAAATGGAAATAATTCCCTAAAACGTAAAGCAGGTAACTAGCTATAACAAGTCAAAATAATAGCGTAAAAGGTTTCTTATTGACATGTTTTCTAAATGTAAATTCTTTTGTTGAATTTTAAATTTTTTTTGCAATGTAAATTTTATTTAAGTTGTCTCTGTAGCTAAAAAAAATAAAGAACTTTAAATGAATAAAACTTCGTAAACAACTTAAACTGACTTAGTTGATTATTTGATCCCAAGGGATTCCAATTCCTCAAGAAAATTATTGCACCAAAATAAAAGTTCAAATTTCAAACATATAGGGGGATAACACATGGATACTTTGACATGACCAGGTTAATATATGTAGCTGAATAAATCTAATAAATATAAATGATATATATGGATAATGTAAAAATTTACGCTATTGTGTAGTTTAACTTGAGATCGCATATTATCAATTATCATTTTCACAATGTCGGTTTATTAGAACTTAAAGACAAATCTAATAGAGTTTAAGTGANATATATATATATATATATATATATATTATTGTTATCTGTCATAGCAGTCAACGTGTCTTATTTTCAAGATTACAATTTTCACACTTTAAGGAAGTTCACCTATAGATATCTTTTGAATGATTTATTAGTGTAAAAAAATTTATTTATAACGACAATATATATAATTTCAGAGATAGGATAACACATGGACACATTAACATGACAAAATTAATAGATGTAAGTGAAGAAAAGGATATAAATCTAATGAGTTTAAATTATAGACACCAACAATATGAAATATTTTTTTATTATCAGTGTATAGAACTTAAACACACAAATTTATTAGTATAAGAAGGGAAAATATAACTATATCATACCTTGTTTGTTCTATAAGAGGATTTGGATCGAATTCTATATTCATGCATCACCCAATTTGATTTCTCTCCTCTTGGAGCTCTTCCTTTATAGAAAACCAATGTTTTTTTCATACCAACTAATTCTGAAGTTTTACTACTGAATATCTCCTTGTCTTTGCCAGTAGTTTTCCAATATCCAGTATTTGTAGCTCTATTTGTTCTCACTCCAGTTGGGTATTTCCGATCGCGAAGGCTGAAGAAATACCATTCTTTTCCTCCCATTTTTGCCTTCCCTGTAATTCTCACATGAAAATTATGGAGTTAAAAATATTGCATTTAACTTATACTTTCTTCGTTTCATTTAGATGACATATTTCACTTATCGAGAGTTAAACTATGTGAAGTTTGACCAATACTTTAAAATATATTTTTTATCATATTGACATGGGGAAAAGTATAACTTGCAGTACTTTCCATATCGTTTTTGAATATCTAAATTTTAATTTTAAAATACTGAGTTGAACTAACCCAATTTAGCTCAAAGTTTAGTCAAAACTCTTGATAAGCGAATTATATGTGGCATCTAAATTGAAACAGAGAGAGTATGCACGTAAAAAAGGTTACACCATGAGTGTATTTTAACATTTTATATAGTAGGTTAATTTTTTTATTTTTTAGGTTACTAATCTCATTTATTATGGGCAATTTACATGTAGTTATCTTTTAGATAACCTGATAGTGTAATAACTCTTTTATAATAGATATTAAGTTATATCAGAATTTTCGACGAGAAACGTGAGCGTTAATTTGTTGATAACTTATTAAGAAAGCTCAATCGGTAGTACAAGAATAATGATAATAGCTTAATTTGGTGTTCACTAAACGTTTGGGTTTGAAGAAGAAAAGAGGAGGAAACTATTTAACTATTTTATTGTCACAACATTAAATAAATCTCCATATAATTCCGTAACAAATAACCCTTCGGAAAATCCCCAAGCAAGTTTACCGGAAGATTTTCCCAAAGATTTGTCAAGCAAATAATTTTTAAAATTTTTTGATTGTATACTTGGGGATTTACTTGTGGAAAAGATAAATCAAATAGACCACAACAAAAGAGTAACTTGAAACCGTTTATTATCCAAAATGAAAGTAAAAACAAAAACTATTAAGTGGAGGGAAAGATCTAAACTTGTTGTTTTATGCCCATCACTTCTCTGGAAATTTCTCATAGACATGACATATTTTTCTAGGAGTGATCATCCAATTTGGTCGATTTTTGATCGGTAATTGTTCAAAATTGATTGAATTTAGTCGGTCTTTTTATTGAAAAATAGTTGTTTTTAGTAGTTTGAAGCCATGAATTCTAACATGGGGATTCAAAAAATAAATATTAGAGTGTCACACTTACGAATAATCAACCTACGATCAAAGAAAAATTTTGAACCATCTTTAACACTACGTACATACACTAGAAGTCCGATCCCCCTACATCAGGAAATTATCAACAATATATTTTTACCTAGCTACATATACAGTATAATTTTTCGTAAAAAGGGATTCAACTGAACCCTTTCGGACCATGTACCTAAATGCAAAACCAAAAAAAATATTAGAAACTAAATTACAAGGAGTGAAGTTTAGTATATATTACCTGGAAGATCCCAGGGCTCAGATTTGTTAAGATCAACATCTGCAATAGCCCTTCCAGTAAAACTAGCATCAGAAATCTTGTTCACAAGATAATATGTTATTAGCTCTTCATCTGTTGGATGAAATCTGAATCCTGGTGGTAGACTACTCTCTTCTTTATTCACTTCTAATTCCATTTCTTTAATTTTTTGGTCCTTAATAAGTTACTTATATTTGTTTCTTTCTTCAACTACTATGCAAAACCTAGAATTTTACAGCTCTAACAGAAACCCTAGAACTCAAAACTTTTATATAATAAACTAATAAGAAAACCAAAAAAGCAAATATTTTAGAAAAAGTTGGTACACGAAAAACAATATGTGAAAAGTTGAAGATCTAAACAAGTTGCACAAAAAAGAGGAAAACCTAGCTAGCTAATAAAGTTTGTTGTTTGCTATGTGTTGCAAGAAATATATATATTTGCTTGATTGGTTGCATGTAGAGGAAATGGAATTTAGGGTTTTGTATAACTTTATTGCTAAAAGGTTTGCTAGAAGTTTAGGGTTTGAGAGACAAGAGAAGAAGTGTTTCTTGCTTCAGAATTTAAAGAAGAAATGGGGAAGAGTGTGTCCGAGAAGCTCTTACCAACTATGGATCTTGAGGTACACGGTGGCGGATCCAACATTACGGTAACGAGTTTATCTGAATCCAATACTTTCGACGTGGAGCACAAATATGTATAAAAATTTACTAAAATTATAACAGTAATATATATGAACTCGCAACTTTAAAAATATAATGAATTCAATAGTAATAACCTTGAAATATTGAACCGATAGAGCTTAAATCCTGAATTCGACTCTGGTTTTTACACTACTTTCTAAACAATCTAATTTATGCAAACTGATAGTATAAATAATTTTACGTTGTTAATGTAATTAACTTGGCATAGCAGGTTATTTTTTTTATTTTTCAAGTTATCATATCATGTTTGTTATAAACAGTACAACCGATATACTAGATAATTGTTTAACCCGATAATGTAAAAGTATTATATATTATCTATATATAGAATTTATATTTTGTTAAAAAAAAAGATATGTACTCAAACTTCCTTTTTATTGAGAATTTGATCACAATACTCGTTATGCAAGTACTACAATGTAATAGACCCATGGGCAGGGGCGGATCTATAGCCTATATTATGGGGCACGCGAACTCATTGTCCTCCGCCAAATTAGGTATTTTATGTGCGTATTTTTTTAAAATTGATCTAATATTATGTATTGGCACAAGTGCTCCACAAAAGTTGAATGGTGCACTTGGTTCAATACTTAATACAGAGAAATACTTCCCGATAAAACACTGCATAGCACTAGTCTAAGAAAATGATATTAGCGTGAGTATATTTTTCATGAGTATATTTTGCTGTTAATATTCTATTATTGGCAAATTTAGATTTTTATAATAGATAGTTACAGTCATTGAAATATTAAGTAGGCGGATCTAAAAGCATTACATATTGGCTCACCGGAACCCAATACCTTATTAAACTCAGTTATTATTGTGTATAAATTTGAGATCATTTTAGGAATTCATAAACTTTAAATCCTAGATCCTTCTCTGATTAATCCTACATTTTTTAACAATGTTGTACAGTGAAACTATTATGATTAAATTAATTGGACTCGTTAATACGAATAACGTCGTAACTATATGTGCATTTTCCACTATGTTTCACCCAACGTATTCTATGAACTAACTTCAATTGAACGTAAGCAAAGATTTTGACAATCTTAGGTGAATATATTGGATTACGAACAACATACATGATACATCTAAATCACTAATTGTATTAGTAGAGTTGTAACTAGAATGCCAAAGTGCAGGAAACTAATATTTCTAGAATATTTACTAGACCAATATTTGGTGTATTCTGAATATTAAAGAAATTAACTGTGAAATGTTAGTAAATATAATGTATAATGTGCATATATGTGAAAATCTCTTTCATGTATATAAATTGATTGTTGAATCTTATTAAATATAATTTTAGTGTAGTGCCAAAAGTTGATTAAAAAGTATTTTAGATCATATAATTAACTCCCAATTGTTTACATTTTAGAGTGCCATTTTTAAATTTCCTTGTCTCTAATCTTGCCTTCGCCTCGTGTATTGAGGTGACTAAACAAATTGAATGTTGATCTCTAGCATAGTTCCATCCAACTTTTTGGCAAGTAGTGAATGTCATGATATCTTAATCAATGATTGTAACGACCCGGCCGGTCATTTTGACTAGAGTTGTAGCCTCATTCCTCCATTTACTGCTCATTCTGTACTTTATAGCTGTATTGTGACTTGCCGGGATCGTCAGTTCGAGTCCAGAGAGATTTCAGAATGAATTGAGACACTTAGTCTCAAGGTTGAAAACTTAAGTTGAAAAGGTTGACCAGATATTGACTTATATGTAAACGACTCCGGAATAGAGTTTTGATAGTTCCAATAGCTCCGTATAGTGATTTTGGACTTAGGAGCGTGTCCGCAAAATTATTTGAAAGTTCATAGCTAAATTAGGCTTGAAATGGCTAAAATAGAAATTTAAGTTTGGAAGTTTGATCGGGGAGTTGACTTTTTGATATCGGAGTCGGAATCCAGTTCTGAAAATTTTTATAGCTCCATTATGTCATTTATGACTTGTGTGCAATATTTGAGATCAATCGGAATTCAATTGATAGGTTTCAACATCAAATGTAGAAATTGGAATTCGTTAAGCTTGAATTGGGGTATGATTCGTAGTTTTAGCATTATTTGATGTGATTTGAGATTTCGACTAAGTTCATATGATATTTTAGGACTTGTTGGTATTTTTGGTTGAGGTCCTGGGGGCCTCGGGTGAGTTCCGGATGGTTAACGGATAGAAATTTGGACTTAAACAGCTGCTGAATTTTTCTGATGCTTGTATCTGGTTTCCTTCATCGCGTTCGCGAACATAAAATTTGGACTGGCCATTTTATGCTTCGCGTTCTTGACCGGGGGCACGCGTTCGCGAAGGGTCAAGGGGCAAGGCTTCGCGTTCGCGATCGAGGCCTCGCGTTCGCGAAAGGGAAAGCCGGCCTGGGGGAAATTTGGTCTTCGCGTTTGCGAGACCAGGCTCGCGTTCGCGAATGAGAAAATCCGGGCAGCACAAAAATGTGCTTCGCGAACGCGAGGGAGTTGTCACGTTCGCCAAGAAGGAATACCTCGACACAAACTGTAAGTTCTGAAAATGGGACTTCGTCACAGTTTCCATTTTTGTCAGATTGGAGCTGGGGAAGAGGTGATTTTTGTGATATTTTCAAGAAAAACAACGGGGTAAGTGTTCTTAACTCCATATTGGTCAAATTACCCGAATCCATGGTTGTTTTTAACATTTAATTGAGGATTTAAGTAGGAAGATTTAGAAAACCCTCTAAGTTTAGATTGAAGATTTGATGGTTGAGTTAATGTCGGATTTTAGTAAAAATTATATGGTTGGACTTGTGGTTGAATGAGCGTTCGTATTTTATAACTTTTGTCTGGTTCCGAGACGTGGGTCCCACAAGTGATTTTTGGGCTAAATTTCAGATTTTGTTAGAATTTTTTTATTTTCATATGAAAATTATTTCTATAATTTATATTGATTGAATCTAATTAATTATGACTAGATTCTAGTCGATTGGAGTCGAAAAATTGAGGAAAAGGCCAACTACTTGACTGATTGAGCGTGGTTTGAGGTAAGTGACTTGTTTAACCTTGTGTGAGAGAAATTTCCCTTTGGATTGGTATTGATATGATAATTGTGATGTGTTGAAAGTCATGTACGCGAGGTGACAAGTGTGTACACAGGCTAAATGTGAAAAACTCTGATTTTTAATTTGTGTAGATCTCTGTTACACATTAATTAAATTATTTTATCCATTTATATTCATAATCATTGATCTATTTTTATATTTTAAATTTGCATGACAGTTTTTCTGTTAATTGTTTTACCTGTTTAGTTGAAACTTTGTTTCTTTTATTCTGTGCTCATCATTTGAAAGTTAAATTTCTTAATTAAATTATTATTAATATCAAGTATTTGACATTAAAAAATTGGTATTGAGGCAAGGTGTTAAATTTGTGAAATATTATTTTTGTTGAGTTATTCACTTCCGAATATTTTGTGAGATTTTGTATTCATTGTGATTGAGCCGCGAGCTCCTTATTGTGGAAATAATATTGTTGTTGATTTATTTTGGCAAGTTGAAATATTTGGGCACTTGAGGTGCAAATTATGATATATTATGATATTGATACGCATGCGGTGGTATAAGGTCTGGGTGTTGAAACGTATGCGGTGAGATAAGGGTGGCTAAAACGCAGGATGCTATTTCGGGAAAAATATTTTTCTTTAAAATTAAATGGGAAGGCTCCCGCAGTGATATAAGGAAATGAGATATTGTGAATTTATTTATGATTTGGGATTACGAGGCGGTACCTCGAGAGTGCCCTCGTTGATATTTCTTTATGGCTGCATTTGCCTTTGGTTATTTTGTGTTTTCCTTAAAAGTTGTAAATTTCTGATTTCCTTCCGCGAGGTATTATTTGCCCTTATTCTGTGTAGTTAAATTGTGACATACTACTTACTTGATTCATCCCCATTGTCATTATTATTATTATTATATTGTTAAACTTTTTACCCTGTCTTTTATTATTCCAGTAGAGCCTGGCCTGACCTCGTCACTACTCTACCAGCTTGGCACTTACTGGGTACCGTATTGGTGTACTCATACTATGCTTCTGCACATCTTTTTATGCAAATCCAGGTACTTCATATCAGACCAGGCATCAGTGAACTAGCCGTACGCGGAGACTTCAAGGTATATCTGCTAGCGTCCGCAGACCTCAGAGTCCCCTTCTATCCTTATTATGTTGTTTTCCTTATTCTCTTTAGACTCTAATGTATAGAGACCTTTAGAATAAATTCTTAGAAGCTTGTGACTTATTTCTACCTGGTTTTGGGAGTTGTAACTATTTGAATCGCGATTTGATTTATTTTAAATGTTGAGATTTGAGTTTTAGTTTTGTATTTCGCATAAATGATAGGCTTACCTAGTCTTAGAGATTAAGTGCCATCACGACATCCTACGGAGGGAAATTGGGGTCTTGACAAGTTGGTATCAGAGCTCTAGTTTCATAGGTGTTATGAGTCACAAGCAGGTTTAGTAGAGTCTCGCAGATCGGTACAGAGACGTCTAAACTTATCTTAGGGAGGCTATGGAACTGTTAGGAAAAGTTTCACTTTCTTTGATTCCTTATCGTGCAAGATTTTGACTTCAGACTCTAAACTTTTGTCTTTATATTCTTTCACAGATGGTGAAGACACGTACAACTGGATCAGATGACCAGACACCCGTGCCCCTGCTAGAGCCGCGAGAGGCTGGGGCCATGGTAGAGGCCGAGGATGTCCACGTGGTGCAGCCAGAGCACCCGCACGAACTACCACAGAGAAGCCACCAGTAGCTCCACTTGGAGAGCAGGCACCTGAGGCGCCTGTTACTATTCTTGCACTTTAGGAGACTCTTGCCCGGTTTC